ATTATAATACTAATTCATTGTATGATAATTAACATAATATCAGGAAGTAAATAATTCAATAATAGATTATTAACCTTCATATGTAGTATTATTAAACTTCTATTATATTCACCCTGGATAATAAATTAATTACACCGCGTAGAACTTTTCACAACCATCCCTCACTCCGCCCCACACACACACCATCCCTACGCGCCAATGCATCACCCCTCATCGTCATCATCATGCATCACCAACCACTCACCAGCTACATCATCATCAATCATAATCATCATCATCACCACCGCCATATCACCAAATTCATACATCATTCAATCATCATCAGCATCAATCACCACCATCATTCTTACCACCGCCGCCATCATCATCGACAACCACGACCACACCATCTGTCATCATCATCATCATCATCATCATCACCACCACCACCACACGTGAAGGACTTACTTCTCGCGGATCGTAGTTGTCTCCTCATCGTCCGCCTCCCTTCCTCCTCCTCCTCCTCCTCCTCCTCCTCCTGCCTACCGCCGCTAAGCCGTCCTGCGACGCGACGCCTTCCCCGCCGCGCCTCTCCTAGATCCACGCGGTCGCTGCTGCTGCTGCTGCTGCTGCAAGCCGTTGTTGTTGACGGTGATGGCGGCGTCGTCGAAGCACACGTTGGAGATGTTACCGGCGGCAGTCTCGTACGATCCTTACTCACGCACTGCTGCCTTCGCTCAACCCGGAGCTGCTGGGCTGCTGCTGCTGCTGGCCGTCGTCGCCGTCGTCATCGTCATCGTCGGTGGCGTCCGTCGACGAGTCGGACGCGCTCACGGTGATGCTCCTGTGTGAAGGAAAGACGAGGTGACGCGGTGGATAGCAAGGTCATGGGGTCGTGAGGGTGGTGGGGGTTATGAGGTGATGCGGTGGAGTACCAAGGTAATGGGGTCGTGAAGGTGGTGGGGTTATGAAGTGACGCGGTGTGGATAGGCAGAGGTCATGGGTCGTGAGGGTGGTGGGGGTTATGAGGTGACGCGGTGGATAGCAAGGTCATGGGGTCGTGAGGGTGGTGGGGGGTTAATGGAGGTGGACGTGGGTGGATAGCAAGTCATGGGGTCGTGAGAGTGGTGGGGGTTAGAGGTGACGCAGTGATAGCAAGGTCATGGGGTGCGTTGAGGGTGGTGGGTTATGAAGAGTGACGAGCGGTGGATAGCAAGTGTCATTGGGGTCGTGGGGGGGTGGGGGTTATGAGGTGACGGCGGTGGTATAGCAAGGTCCATGGGGTCGTGAGGGTGGTGGGGGTTATGAGGTGACGGCTGTGGATACAAGGTCATTCGGGGTCGTGAGGGTGATGGGGGTGCTTATGAGGGGCTTGCGTGGATAGGCAAGGTATGGGGTCCGTGAGGGATGGTGAGGGGTTATGAGGTGAGCACGTGTGGATCAGCAGGCAGGGGGTCGTGAGGGTGGTGGGGGTTTATGAGGTGATGGCGGTGGAATAGCAAGGTCATGGGTGTGAGGGTTGGTGGGGGCTACGCGGTGAACCGGTGGATAGCAAGGTCATGGGGTCGTGAGGGTGGTGGGGGGTTATGAGGGGTTGCGGTGGATAGCAAGGTCATGGGGTCGTGAGGGTGGTGGGGGTTATGAGGTGAATCGCGGTGGCATAGCAAGGTCATGGGTCGTGAGGGTGTGGGGGGTTATGAAGGTGACGCGGTGGATAGCAAAGGTCATGGGGTCGTGAGGGTGGTGGGGTTATGAGGTGACGCGGTTGGATAAGCACGGTCATCGGGGTCGTGGAAGGGTGGTGGGGGTTATAGGTACGGCGGTGGATAGCAAGGTCATGGGTCGTGAGGTGGTGGGGTTATGAGGTGACGCGGTGGATAGCAAGGTCATGGGGTCGTGAGGGTGGTGGGGGTTATGAGGTGACGCGGTGGATAGCAAGGTCATGGGGTCGTGAGGGTGTGGGGTTATGAGGTGAGACGTGCGCTGGATAGCAAGGTCATGGGGGTCGTTAAGGGTGGTGGGGTATGAGATAACGGCGGTGAGTAGCAAAGGTCATGGGGTTCGTGAGGGTGGTGGGGTTTATGAAGGTGATGCGTGGACTAGCAAGGTCATGGGTCGTAAGGGTGGTGGGGTTATGAGGTGGACGCGGTGGAATAGCAAGGTCATGGGGTCGTGAGGGTGGTGGGGGTTATGAGATAACCGCGGTGGGATAGCAAGGTCATGGGGTCGTGAGGGTGGTGGGGGTTATGAGGTGGTGCGGTGGATAGCAAGGTCATGGGGTCGTGAGGGTGGTGGGGGGTTATGAATGGTGGTTGCGGTGGATAGCAAGGGTCATGGGGTCGTGAGGGTGGTGGGGGTTATGAGGTGACAGCAGGTGGATAGTAAGGTTGCAATGGGTCGTGAGGGTGGTGGGGGTTATTGAGGGGTTGGCGGTGGATAGCAAGGTCATGGGTCGTGAGGCGTGGTGGGGGGTTACGAGGTGACGCGGTGGAAGTAGGCAAGGTCATGGGGTCGTGAGGGTGGTTGGGGGTTATGAAGGGTTGCGTGGATAGCAAGGTCATGGGTCGTGAGGGTGGTGGGGTTATGAGGTGCGCGGTGGATGCAAGGTCAATGGGGTCGTGAGAGTGGTGGGGGTTATGAGAGTGCTGCAGGTGGAATAGCAAAGGTCATGGGGTGAGTGAGGGTGTGGGGGTTACGAGGTGAGCGCGTGGTGGATAGCAAGGTCATGGGGTCGTGAGGGTGAGTGGGGGTTAATGAGGTGACGCGGTGGATAGCAAGGTCATGGGGTCGTGAGGGTGGTGGGGGTTATGAGGGGTTGCGGTGGATAGCAAGGTCATGGTCGTGAGGGTATGGGGGTTATGAGGGTCACGTGGATATGCAAGGTCATGGGTCGTGAGGGTGGTGGGGGTTATGAGGTGACGCGGTGGATTAGCAAGGTCATTGGCGGGTCGTGAGGGTGGTGGGGGGTATATTTTTATGAGGTGAGCGCGGTGGATAGCAAGGTCAATGGGTCGTGAGGGTGTGGGGGTTTGAGGTGAACGCAGTGGATAGGCCAAGGTTCATTGGGTCGTGAGGGTGGGTGGGGTTATGATGTGAACGCGGGTGGATAGCGAAAGGTCATGGGGTCCAGTGAGGGTGGTGGGGGGTACGAAAGGTGACGCCGGTGGATGAAGCAAGGTCATAGGGGTTCGTGAGGATGTTGGGGGTTATGAGGTGACGCGGTGGGAAAAAGCAACGGTCATGGGGTGCGTTGAGGGTGGGGGTTGATGGAGGTGACCGCGGTGGATAGCAAGGTCACGGGGGTCACGTGAGGGTGGTGGGGGTTTACGAGGTGACGCGTGGATAGCAAGGTCCATGGGGTCGTTGAGGGTGGTGGGGGGTTATGAGGTGACGCGGTGGATAGCAAGGTCATGGGGTCGTGAGGGTGGTGGGGGGTTATGAGGTGACGCGGTGGATAGCAAGGTCATGGGGTCGTGAGGGTGGTGGGGGTTATGAGGTGACAGGCGGTGGGGGGGATAGGCAAGGTCTATGGGGTCGTGAGGTGGGTGGGGGTTATGAGGTACGGCAGTGGATAGGCAAGAGTCTTGGGGTCGTGAGGGGTGGTGGGGGTTTTATGAAGGTGACGGCGGTGGATAGCAGAGGTCATGGGGTCGTGAGGGTGGTGGGGGTTATGAGGTGAACGCGGTGGATAGGCAAGCGTCATGGGGTCGTGAGGGCGTGGTGGGGTTATGAGGTGACGTGGTGGATAGCAAGGTCATGGGTCGTGAGGGGTGGTGGGGGTTATGAAGGTGATGCAGTGATAGCAAGGTCTTGGGTCGTGAGGTGGTGGGGGGTTATTGAGGTGACGCGGGTGCGATAGCAAGTGTCTATGGGCTCGTGAGGGTGGTGGGGTTATGAGGTGGACGTGGTGGTAGGCAAGGTCATCGGGTCCCCGTGGAGGTGGTGGGCGTACCGAGGGGTCAACGGTGGATTAGCATAGGTCTTGGGGTCGTGAGGGTGGTGGGGATTATGAGGATTGACGCGGTGGAATAGCAAGGTTCATGGCGGTCGGTGAGGTGGTGGGGGTTTAATGAGGTGACGTGGTGGAATAGCAAGGTCATGGGGTCGTGAGGGTGGTGGGGGTTACGAGGGGTGCACGGTGGATAGCAAAGGTCATGCCATGGGTCGTGAGGGTGGTGGGGGGTTTATGAGGGCGTCAAGCGGTGGAATAGCAAGGTCAGTGCTCATGGGCGTGAGGGTGGTGGGGGTTATGAGGTGACGGGTGGATAGCAAGGTCATGGGTCGTGAGGGTGGTGGGTTATGAGGTGACGCGGTGATAGCAAGGTCAAATGGGGTCGTGTGAGGTGTGGGGGTTAATGAGGGGTTCGCGGGATCATGAAGTGGGGGAGGTCGCAGAGAAGGAATGGTTGGGGTGAGCCACGGGGCAATCATGCGGTGCACCACCACAACACCTACGAGGAAGGAAGGGTTGGGTGAGTACCACCGGCATCATCGGTGGACCACCCACACCTAACGAGCAAGGAAGGGTTGGGTGAGTACCACGACATCATCCGGTGCACCACCGCACACGCCTACGAGCAAGGAAGGGTGGGTGAGTACCACGGGCCATCATCGGTGCACCACCACAGCGACACCTAACGAGAAGAAGGGTTGGTAAGTACCACCGGCCATCATCGGTGCACCACCACACACCTAGGCGGGAGAGGAAGGTTGGGTGAGTACCGCCACGGCACATCGGTGCAACCACCACCACAACCGTAAGCGAGGAGGAATGGTTGGGTAAGTACCCGGGCATCCTGCGGTGCAGCACCAACACACCTACGAGGCAAGGAAGGGTTGGGTGAGTACCGACGGGCATCCATCGGTGGCACACCGACACACCTAAGACGAGAGGAAGGAAATGGTTTGGGTAAGTACCCACGGGCATCAATCGGCTGGCTACCACCACGACACCTACGAGGAAAGGAAGGGTTGGGTGAGGTACCACGGGCATCATCGGTGGCACGCCCCCACACGTAACGAGAAGGAATGGTTGGGTAAGTACCACGGGCATCCATCGTGCACCACCACACACCTACGAGCAAGTGAAGGGTTGGGTAAGTACCGGACGGGCAACAGGGTCGTGCACCACCGACAACACGCGTACGGCGACGTCAAGGAACGGGTTGGGGTAAAAGTAGCCGGACGGCAATCGATCGGTTGTGCACGCCAACCACAAGCCAGCCATACGAGCAAGGAAGGGGGTCTTGGGTAAGAAGTTAGGCCCAACGGAGCATACATCGGAGCGGTGGCAGAGGAGCCGAGCGCGCCCCCACCACGACGAGGAATGAAGGGGTTGGGTGAGTAGTGACTGAGTACAGCAACGGACATCATCGCTGCACCCATCCCCACACCGGGCTCGAGCGTAACGAGCAAGGGAAGGATTGGGACGAGTCATGAGGTCACGGGAGGTCATGAGGAGTCGCGGGTGCAGATTTGCAGGGGGTTGAGTGAATTGAGTATATGAATGCTATGTGTTACAGGTACTTTGCGGGTGTGTAGATATTTTTATGTGGTTGGTCACATCCGTTCTCGTAAATATAGTTTAGGAACCAACGGGAAAAAATACCCGACTTTCAAATCGAATTTTTTTTTCATGCTTTTTCAGAGCGGCTGGGCTCCCCCACATCCGCAACGTTATTAACCCAAATTTCACGTAGCCCCCTGATAGCTAGTGACTGACTTTAGCAAGAAAAACTTATTGTGTGAGAGAGAAAGAGAGTGAGAGCGAGTGAGATAAGAAAGAAGAAGGCAAGAAAAGCGAAAGAGAGAACAGAGAGAGAGAGAGAGAGAGAGAGAGAGAGAAGAGAAGAGAGAGAGAGAGAGAGAGAAAGCGGAAGCGGAGAGAGCGTGAAGCACACACACACACACACACACACACACACACACACACACACACACACACACACACACACACACACAGAGAGAGAGACAGAGAGCGTGAAGAACAGGTTCCTGCATGAGAGGTAATTGCTGTTACATAGCGAGAAACATTAGGTGTGTAAGCCGGTAGTGAGATAGATAGACAGCTTGACAGGATCATGACACGCTCATGTTCACGCGCTCTGAGTATTAGATATAGCACCCTGCCTGCCCGCCTGCCTGCCTGCCTGCCTGCCTGCATGGCTGCCTGCCTGCCTGCCTGCCTGCCTGCCCGCCTACCTGTCTGTCTGCCTGCATGGCTGCCTGCCTGCCCGCGCGCCTGCCTGTATGGCTGCCTGCAGGCGACACGCGCGGGTAGCCGACACGGCGCGAGAGAGAGAGAGAGAGAGAGAGAGAGAGAGAGAGAGAGAGAGGAAGGAAAGAGTGTGAGAGAGAGAGGAGGGAAAGAGTGAGAGAGAGAGAGAGAGGAGGGACAGAGTGTGCGTGCATTCGCGCGTTGACATGTGTACGTGGTAGTACAGGTGGTAGTATACATATCGTCAGGAATTAATAATGACAAATTACTTTGTCAATGATAATGATAATTTGTCATTATTAACTCCTGATATCGTGTAATGTACAGGCATTACAGACACCGTGAAAACACCGTAGCCACAAAGTAGAGCCACCGTGATAGCCTGGCGTGCGTGCGTGTGTGCGTGTGTGCGTGCGTGCGTGCGTGCGTGAGTCCGCTGTGCTCAAAACCTATTTCTTTCCATCACACCGCTGCGAATTGTTCGCGTTTTACTGAGAGATTTAAGATGTAAGAGCAGAAGAGAGAAACCCCCCGCGTGCGCCCATTAGCTGCTACTGTAGGTGTGCCACTCACGTGCCTCTCACCAACTCTCTTACTCACGTACGTCCACCACTAAGCTATAAATCCGTGTACGCTTGCTTCTATCCCTCGAGTAAACAATCTTAAAATCGTCTCCCACTTGATCCATTAATCCTCATATGTTTCCCCCATCGAACCAACACTCCTCCTAAACCGCTCCCCCAATCTACTCCATTAATCCCTATGTACGCTTGCACTCCTCGTAAAAACACTTTCGTCTCTCCTTCGTCTCTCGTGTTTTTTCCTCGAGGATCGGTCAGCCATGAACGAGAACAAATCGCACAGTATTCTGCGATGCAACGCTATGAAAAACGCTCCACTACAAAACATCCCCTCTTGCGCGTGAGCGCTCGAGAGCAAATTCCATTAACGCACGTTAACTTGACGCGTTTTCATTATCGCGCAAACTTTTTCTCGTGAACAATCTTAGCTCTAGAGCTGCTGCATGAGGCCGCCGCTTGAAAACACAAAACACAAAAAACACAAACATACAAAGCGAAGCAATTCTGCAGATTATTAAATTTAAGAAAAACAAAAGCACACAGGGAATAAACGCCCGCTACGATTATAACGATAACGACGACGATGATGTTGATGATGATGACGACAAAGAGAGCTTAAATTCAAATCCCAATCATCCAATCCCAATCATCGCCATCATCATCATCATCGTCGCCATCATCATCATCATCATCATCATCATCATCATCATCATCATCATCATCATCATCATCA